AACCCTTCCCTAGGTGAGGAGGAACCCAAAGTTTCTGACTTTTCCCCTTTTTTTAAAAGAAAATACAACTAGTGGTAAGACTAGGGTAGGAGGTGGGATGATAACCCCCCCCTTTTCCTTTTTTTTTTATTTTTTTTAGTGCGTTACAGACAACCCTTACCAAACAGCCCTTTAGTTCTAATGAAATAATGAAGTTTTGTACTTATGAGTGAAAGAACAAAGTTATGAACTAAATGTGCTGATAGAGTATAAGTTGAAGGACTAAATTTGTAAATTACTCTAAAATGCCATTATTCCCGCATACATAAAACCGCCTGCATCGCCGAACCTCGTGAAAATCCTTCTTAGGGTTTCGACTTTCGAACTTTCGATAACAACACATACACATCCCCCCTTTGTTACTCATCTACCATAACAATCTCTTCAACGAAAGGTATGTTTCTACGGGTCCAACCCCTTGTCGATTTGTTTTTCTGTCAATTTCAATTTTTTAGGGCTTGTTCTTTGTGTGCGTGATGATGAACAGAGAATTTGAATTAGGAGGAGATAGCACAAACCCTAGGGTAGAATCAGAATCTTTCGTTGATGGCAGTAGCTCAGGAAATATAGTAGATTCTGTACCTGTACCATTAATCGTCCCCTCCGATAACTCTACAGTTGTGCAGGGTTTCGAAAGTGTAGGTGGGTCTGTTGCCGAGGGTAGCATGGACAGTGTATCAGCTGAAAGAAATGTTAGTGATGTAAATAATAGGACAGATGGGGTCTCGAACAAATTTGGTGTTCTTGAATCTCATGACAAGGTGTTTAGCGATAGGAACCATGGTAGTGTAAAGCATGTGAAAAGTGAGCAGCAGAAAGGGCAACATAGAAAAGAGCTGAAATCAAAAGAATCAGTATCACCTGTATATGATTCTATGATTTCTATGTTTGATGATTTTGCTGCCAATGGGAATGTGTCGACTGTGGTTAAGCCGTCGATGGAGGTATCACCTGGTCATGGCTTTCAAGTGGGGGATATGGTTTGGGGAAAAGTGAAATCTCACCCTTGGTGGCCTGGTCACGTGTACAGTGAAGAATTTGCAACCCCTTCAGTGCGCAGATCAAAGAGGGAAGGTCTTTTGTTGGTTGCCTTCTTTGGAGATAGTAGCTATGGATGGTTTGATCCTTCAGAACTTGTGCCGTTTGATTCTGATTTTGCAGAGAAGTCTCGCCAGACTAACTCTAAAACTTTTGTCAAGGCTGTGGAGGAGGCAATGGATGAGGTTAGTAGGAGGAGTGCACTTGGTTTGTCCTGTATGTGCAGGAGTAAGCAGAATTTCAGGGAGACTGGTGTCCAAGGGTATTTTGCTGTTGATGTGGCGGATTATGAGCCTGGAGCTGTATACTCAATTGATGCAATTGAGAAAGCTAGGAAGAGTTTCCAGCCCAGTTTGGCTCTTGATTTTATAAGGCAGTTGGCTCTGGAACCCACTGACAATGATCATGCTGGCATTGATTTTATAAAGAACAGGGCTAATGTCATTTCTTACAGAAGGGCAGTTTATGAGGAATTTGATGAGACATATGCTCAGGCATTTGGTTACCAACCAGTTCGTTCTTCTCCTCGATCTGTACAAGAATTGCCCCCTGGAAGAACACCGACTAAAGGTAATTGATTCATATACAATATATGTTCATTTATGTTGTTTTCAGGTCTTCGACTTGGTTTCTTATCATTTTATGGTAACTGTTTGAGAACCCCACATCATCCTTTGAACAAGGTAGATGTATTTTATGAACTAAAAAGCCACAACATACATGGGACGATTGATTAACTGATCTATGTTTTTTTGGTTTCTCGTTTACAGATCATTGTTTTGAAATGAATTTCTTGTAGGTGCCTTGTATTATTTTTTGCAGTAGATTCTCCCAGCATTCATTATTTCAATTGGCATTTGTTACAAGCTCCACTAGGGGATTACATGGTGCTGGTTCTTGAAATGGAGATTAGTTGATTTTTTGAACAACATAAATTGTAATCAAGGTTCAAGATGGCAGGAGGCGTGGCATGGCGGTGGGGTCAAGCCTCAAGCCTTGCATGCCATGACGAGGACACGGCGTTTTTCAAGGCGTGACATAACGACAAATTTATATGTCATATATAAAATTATATTATATACATACACATATATATTTTATGTATATTATTTAATCAGATGATGATATTAATAAATTTACATTGATAATAGAAGAAAAATCATATAGATTATTATTATAAAAATAGTCTTTGATTAAATATTCAAAATAGAACTTAGAAAGGTAACTTTACAACTTCATTTTAATCGTGGGTCCATGACATTTATGAATTTGTGAAAGTGAGTGATGTGATATTGTGATTAGATACATCTATAAAAGTGTAGAATTTAAAGTTAAAAGTGTAAAAACACAAAAGCTAAAAGATAAAAAAACTAAAACAATAAAAAGTTGAAAAAAGTCACGTCTTGTAAAAATGCGCGCCTCAAGACGCCATGGCGTGAGCCACGTCTTACAGAAATGCTATGGGTCTTTTCGTAACGGCATAGACGTCCATTTTGGACACTGATTGTAGTTTGAATTGACCTTGTGTGACATCAGGTAGGAACAATTTATTAACATTGCAAATTGATATGGCTATGGTTGGTACATCTTAATAAGATGCTATTTTATTTGCAATTTTATTTTCATGATGTTATTGTTGTAAACGTCTGTTATTTAAATAATTGCAGTACTTGCATTTAGGCATGCAAGTTACATCAAATTGGATAGGGTCAAAATAATAATGAGTCAGTTGTAGCAGTTGTACTTTGATTGTATATGTTGAATGATGCATTGTATAATTAGGGGCTGTTCGGAAGTGGCTTAATGGGCTGAGTGGGATATATGGCTTATTCGGTAAGCCATATATAGTTGTTCGGTTATGGCTTAATAGCGAATAAGTGGCTGGTTCGGTAAGCTGGAAAAAGAGTCGTTTACATTCAGTCCCCAACTATCCAATCTGCCCTTTTTCTCTTCCAGGCATGAAAGAGACAACAATTGCTCCTGATCGGTGCTCCCATTTTCCCAATCTGCCCGTTTACATTCTCTTCCCAATCGGCACTCCTCCTTCAATCTTCAAACTGATTGGTGCTCCTCCTTCAATCTTCTAACCATCGGCGCTCCTTCTTCACAGTTGCTCTTGCTCCTCGTCCCTCTTTCTTGATTCTAGGGTTTTTAAATATATTATTTCGATGAATCATTTAGAGATGCAGGTATGTAAATTTCAAAGGGTTTCTTCTAATGGTAGTACTACAACAACTGATAATTCTTCAAATCCTCAAAAGATAGCTACTCATCAAGGGAATTTGGAGTTGCAGAATCATGTTGATGATGGTGGTGGAGGAATTGAAATGTTGTTGAGATGCGGTGGTGGTGGTGGGTGGTGTTGCGAGGCTATGTGGATGGCTGTCGTCTCGAAATGTTAGGGTTTCTCGGGCGTCGGGAGGGAAGGATAGACACAGTAAGGTTTTGATCAGGGTATGATCAGTCGAGCAAGGCGGTGGAGTGGTTGCTCAAGGCGGTTTGTTTTTAATTTGAAAACTCTGCCCTTTGTTTTTAAGGTGCTTTGGTTAACCTCTGCTCTTTGATTTTAAGGTGCAAAGCTTCAATTTGGTTGTATATGGGACTTTATCTATATTGTCAATGTTTAATATAGATAAAAGGGTAAAATAGTCATTTTCATTATTCAGACGGTTTATTCAGCCCAACAACCGAACAACAACTTTTGTGTTAACATACGGACAACTTTATCAATACAGACATCTTTATTCATACAGGTCTTAATAGAAAATGAACCGAACAACCCCTTAGTGATTGCTATGTTAACGTTGTTAGTGAGTGGACACTTATTCGGTAATTGTGAGTTTAAATGCTTTGCATTGAGTCTTTGGTGATGCATATGGAAGCTATTAGTTTGGTTGTCGATGCTCTCAAAAGGTTTTCTAGTGCAAGTAATTGGGGATTCATGTCCACAATATCAAACATAAATTGATGAGGAATTATCTAGTTTTGGCTAAAAGTCTTGGTGAGTATTGTTTTCATAATATTACACCTCTAATGTTAAACAATTTGCCCTTGTAAAAAGTTGTGATGCACTGTTCGTTTAATCTCTAGCATGGTTTTTTTAAAAGAAACCGTAGCATGGTTTTCTTGTAACTGAAAATAACGAAGCCATCCTGACATGTGGTAATAATATACTAATACCATCATAGCCTCTTATTTGCAATATGACAGGCCAGGAAGAAGAAATTTGGTCAGTTCGTCATATAAAGTTTGGTGCCATTGGTTACTCCGAGCTTCATGCATTATTTGTCCACCATGAGTTTCTTGCTCAATCATATTTTATGTTCCGAGTTCAAATTGCTTAGAGAAGTACACCTAGATGCTAAATTAAGTGTCTATTAGCAGGTGTATTACTCCCAACATAGAGTTGGGTACATAATACAGATGAGGGGTATACTTTTTGTTTTTCTTTTTGCTATGTGCTTTCAAAGGGAATTGATGGATGTATTTTGACTTGAAAAGAGCCCCTTTTTGTGTGCTTCCCTTGTCACTTTCGGTCATCATACTGAAGGAAGTACAAGGAATTCTGTTGTTGGTCCTAAAATATTCAATTAGTTCATTGGTGTTAGATTCTGCGGGTTCAGTAATGTAAAGCACTGACCTTGGTTAATTGGCAGGGGAATTGATATTTCTATTTTCAAGGTTAAGGTTGGTCTTTTTTTAGAGCGTCTTAAAGATACTTGGTGCGGGCCTTACTTTAAAGTGTCTTAAGTGTCATGAAGTATTAGATCATAACTGATAAGAATTTGAAGACTGGCTCTAATTGTTTATGGCAATTTCATACAGTACCTCACAAAATGACCAAGCCTTTATGCTTAAAGCAGGTTTCATTTACCCATTTTACAACATGATGAATCTTGAGAACCCTTGTCTTCATTGTTTTTTTTGGTAGCAACCAATTGGAAATTATGTGTACATGGATGTTTGGCACTTCAACTTATGTGATACAGGGGAGGCAAGTGTCTTTTGTGATGTGAGATTGTTTAGGGTCCTGGAAATAGTTATTTACTGTTTTAGTAGTTTTTCCAAACTCCAAGCAAGGACTCACATTATTATCTTCAGCCTTTTATGGCGTTGGGTTTTTCTTGGACCTATGAGAGCTTTGTGATGGTGCTTGGAGGAGTTGTTTGACCTACTAGATATTTTCTTCATAGAAAGGGAACTTTGCATTCTTGTGCGCTTCTTTTTCCAGCTAATTTCATAGGATTCAGGGTTATAATGTCTATCTGTGGAGCAATGTAAATGTAGGGCCTGTACTGTAAATTTCTTTTATGTCTGATTATAATCTTTATTTCAATCGAGTCCCTGCTTTGCTTTTATGCTTGTAGAAAAGTACTTGCCAATCTCTCTTAAAGAGAGGCTAAAATATTTACCTCTTTTGTCCTATCTACAAAGGTTTTCAGAAGATCAACTCATTAGATGAATCGTAATATCTGTTTGTTTTGCTGCACTTTGACTTGGTCGAACTATGTTCATTGGGAAACCAAACTGAACCAAACAAACAGAGAGGTAGGGTCTAGGAGGGGTAGGATGGAGAGCATGGGATAGGTGAGAGTGTGTGCAATGCGGCAGTGACAAAAGTGCGGAAGCTTGGTTAAAACAAGGAAGGAAACACAGCAAGCCAAAAAGCTAAGATTAGTGAGTAGAAAAATGTCACACAAGTAGATGCCAAGGTAGACAGCCAAATTAGGAAGTAATATGATGCTCTAGTAACCCAACTGTCATCTTGCTGGCTCCCCTCCCTCTGTCTCTCACGCCTTCCTCTTACCAATTAAATCTTTCAATTATAGTTTTTGTGGCAAGTGCATGTTGTGTTGCATCTTCAATATTATATCAGAAGCTTGAATTTGTGAATAGTAACAGCTCAGGTTCTATACGAATTCTGACATTTTTTTCAACACTTGGTTTGTGGGCTTGGTTGATATCTACTATAAATACCAAAACTCGTGTTACATAGCCTTGCATATTTTATTTTCTGATCAATTTAGAAGTTTGTATCCGTATTCTATCTGGTATTGTAGCTTCGCAGAGTGTCATATATTTGTTTTTGATATCTTCACCTAGGGACTATTTAGGGGTTCTATTGAATTTTTTTTGATATCATTGTCACAAATATTTATTCCTTGGTAACATGTCGCTGCAACTGTCTTTTTTTTATTGTAGGGATTTTGAAATGCATGCACTATTGTTGTGTCACCCTAAGATGTTAAGCCGGGCTTGTAGTTGTTGTCGTCTTTTATGCTTTGCTGAAGTTTGTATGGTTTATTTTAGCGAATAATTTGACCTTATCTTAAATTCATTTATCACCTTTAGTGGGTTCACTTATAGATGTTCAATCTCACCTCAGATAATGAACCAAATAGGAAAAGTGGCCGCCAGAACTTTGACGAGAAAAACACCATGGTCATGTCGGAATATGGGATGACTTGGTCATCATCACACATCATCGTGTTGCAAAATGTTTCTTGCTTTCTTCTTTTTAGGTTTTTTCTTGATTGTATATATCTCTTGTCCTTTGTGACTGAAGAAAGAATCTCTATTGTTCCATCTGAGAACAGTGACCTTGGCTTGTCCACACCTTGCCTTTTAGGCTTCTATTTCTATTTAATTTCTAGTTATGGAAATGCTATCAAAATGAGCACATAAAGATATGAGCATGTTCATACCTAAACAGTTTTTCTGGTAATTCGTTTACATACTTTCAAGCTGACAAATCAACATACAGAATATCTGAAATATTAGACATGGATTAGATTCTTTACTCTGAACCTTCCCCATGGATCTTATATATATTCTGTAAACATGGTCCAATTTCTTCATGATAGATTGCTGATGTTGGTGTTTTTACAGCTCCCTTGAGTGGGCGACAGGTATTTGCCGACACTTCAGGCAAGGGAAAGAGTTCTGCAAAACCTAATAAGGTTAAGGACCATGCTAAAAAAGACAAGTATCTCTTTAAACGGAGAGATGAATCTGAAGAGGTAAAAGTGCTCAAAAAGGAGAAAGGGAAACTGTCATTCTCTCCCCACCTTAAGGATTCCATGGCAAATGCTGCTGGTGACTATGTGTTGCAAAAGAGAGACTTGGGAACACATGAACAAGTTGGGACAGCCATTGTGAGCGATGAATTAGCTTCAAGAGATGCAAGTATGGAAGACACACCTATTGTCCTGGAATTCGGTGACCCTAATTTACAGAGCAAAGTTGAATCACCTAGCTTTTCTGCTGGTGAGATTGCACCAGGCTTTGGTGGTGATCTACCAACAGTGAAGATTTCTGGTGATGATGAGAAGAAGATTGTGCCACAAAAGACAAGTTCTGATTTGGTAGATGACAAGTCTTCAAGTGACAGAAAGGTGTTCAACCAAGATGACACCCCAAGTTCAGGACCCCATAAAATAGTTGCTTTACAAAGAACGGATAATGAGCCGAAAAAGGTGAAGAAGGTTTCTAAACGTCCTGTTGGAGAGCTGGGATCTGGGAAATCCGTCTTGCCCGAGAAGAAAAAGAAGAGGAAGAAAGAAGTCTTGATGGCTGACGGTACACAGGTCCTTGGTAAAGATGGGGTTCCTTTGGTTGACAAAGTTTCAGCTAAAAGACCCTTTCAATCTGCTCCCGCATCAAAGCCTCCGATTGAGGATCCTAATGGAACTGATAACAAGTGTTTGTCTTCACAAGAGATGAATCATGAAGTGGAGCTTTCACAGGTACTGGGTGATTTGCATTCACTTGCTTGTGATCCTTTCCATGCTATTAACCAAGGATGGGCTGTTAAAGCAAGACAGATTTTTTTGAGGTTCAGATCAGGTGTGTTCCAAAAAAGCTTAAACATAGCTGAGGATGAAGGAAATGATAAGCATTCTAGCAAGTCTTGTGCTGAGAATGGCCTAGGAGCGACACCTGCAAAACCACAAGCCAGGCCTGATGATCCCACTAAAGGCGGGCGGAAGCGGGGTCCATCCGATCGCCAGGAAGAAATCGCTGCAAAAAAGAAGAAGAAAGTTGGTGATATTAGAAATTTAACCAAGGAGAAGAAGGTAATTAAGAAAACTGACGAACCGGCATCACGAGGAGATGTGAAGCCGGCGGTTGTTATGACATCAAGGAAATCCGAGTTGAAGAACACAGAGCAGCGGGCGCCGGAGCCTACAATGCTAGTGATGAAGTTTCCATCAGGAGGATCTCTACCGTCCATTAATGAGCTAAAGGCAAGATTTGCACGTTATGGACCTATGGATCATTCGGGTACTCGGATATTTTGGAACACGTTCACATGCCGGGTGGTTTACAGGCACAAAGCCCACGCACAGGCGGCGTATAAGTTTGTGCTGGGAAGTAGCAACTTGTTTGGGAACGCGGATATAAAATGCAGCCTTAAAGAGGTTGGAGTTGTGGGATCCGGCGATTATGAACCACCTGTGAAGGTCCCAAAAGAAGAGGGGTCCATGGAGACCATGGCAGGCTTACAGCTGAAATCATGTCTGAAGAAATCGGGTGGCGGTGAGGAGGCGGGAGGTGGTAGTAAAGGGATGCCGCGGGTAAAATTCATGTTGGGTGGGGAGGAAAGTGTGAAAAACATGGCGGAGAACAAGAATGGTTCATCATCATCTTTTTCTTCTTCTCATGCAACAATGGATTTTAATAGTAAGAATTTTCAAAAGGCTGTTCACCTCCCTCTTCCCATTTCTTCTACTACTGCTGTTGCAACTTCAACTGCTCAATTTACTAGACCACCACCATCATCAAATTCTATGCACTACGGTGGCATAGGCTTACAGCCACCGCCACCACCACCACGATCTTTGAATTATGCGGGCGAGATAAAACAAACACAACCACCACCAGCGCCACCTGGGAACTTCGTTCACAACTTGCAAAGACCAATTATTGTTCCACCACCACCAGCACCAGCACCATTACCCAAAATGGATATCACACAGCAAATGTTAAGCCTTCTGACCAAGTGCAACGATGTCGTTACGAATGTGAGAAATATGTTAGGCTACGTGCCTTACCGCCCTCTTTAAACATAAAAGAAATCCTCTATAAACGGACAAAAACCAGCATCGAGAAAATCGACTGTCGAGGCAAGATGAAGATGCGTTGTTGAGGAGAGACAAAAGGAATATAGGAAAGAAAAATGCATGTGAACTCTTTGGATGGATGGATGGATGGATGGGTTCATTTATTTTGGTATGGCTTTACTTTGTAGTGGTATTGTTTAATGGTGATTATGTTGTAGTTGTTTAACATCTTTTTGGCATTTATTAGGTGCATTTTGTCAAATAATAGACATCGTGGCTTTGTGACCTATGGATTTTCCCCTCACCATCTCCTTTTTATTTTATTATCAGCATAAGCCAATGTCGTTGAGATTTGCTCATTCTATTAGTGTTATCATATCTGATGAAGTTGTTTTTATTAAAAAAAACATATCACAATGTCCATTTTTTTTAATTTTAATTGAATAATTAAGTGGGTTTGGTACAAGAATAATTAATGATTAATTTTTGTGCGAGTTGGGGTTAAATTAATGTGATCCGAGCCGAGCAGGCTGCAGGGGTAGATTTAGCGGGTTCCGGTAGATAACCCATAATTTTTTTCAAAAGTAATGTATACATGGATGGACCTACTATTTCAAAAGTAATGTATACATGGATGGACCTACTATTTGGCATACGGTGGCATGTGCCACCGTATTATTCCTCCGTCGAAGGGTAAAATTTTTTAAGTTCGTGAAGGGTGCAACCGTATTAATTTGTTGTGTGCCACCATATGTATTTTGAAACTATGTCGTTTTCTTAGTAAAATGGTGCCACCATTTGAAAAAAAATCCGTAGTTTGAAAATTTTTCCCTATATTTTTCTCTTATACTCAAATGGTGACGTTGCTTAAAAAATTTTATGGATCCGTCCCTAATGTATAATCTTATTCTAAAGTCTTCAAGGTTATTACAATTATATTTTTATTAAGTGAATGTATTGGTTTGTGATCGTGATCCTTTACATACATATGTTATAGAGTTGGTTTGTGACCGTGATCCTTTGCATACATATGTTACGAATTTTCTATTAATAAAAGAATTAAAAAGAATTTAATAACAATCCTTTTCAATAAATTCATAGGTAATTTTATTTTAAATTTACTGATATAATATACAAATTATTTAAGTTCATTGGTCCATCAGTAAGGGGTCGTTTACTAAATACTTACCCGGTTAATATTTATCAGGTAATTTTCCTCACCTGATTAACATGACAAGGACCGAAAATCTTACCCGTTAGGAGGAATGATAAGGATAGAGAGTCTTACCCGATAAGTGATGGTGATAACTCTTACCCGGGTAAGCGTTTACCAGGTAAATTGTTACATACGATACCGTTTTGTTATATTACAATCTTACCTGGTAAAATAGATTATAATGTTGATTCTTACCGATAAACGCTTATCGGATAAGTATTTGGGTAAATGGCGGCTAAGTTTAAATACTTTTTTTTTTCTACAACATTATCAGCAAAATTCAAATAATTATGTAATCACTTAAATTCCATCTGTTATCCTTCAGTAGGTTAAATAAGAATTTTTAATTTTATTTTTTCCTCTAAAATCATCAACAGAATTATATATATATATATATATATATATATAGGGGTCCAATCAAGGGAGAATTCGATTGTTTGTGATAATTGTGCGATCCAATCTCAACCACATATTATTAATAATCAATGGTTAATATTAAACATATTAATTTTGGTAATTATTCATTAATTTTCAAATAATTTAAATTTACTGATAATATATAGGGGTAAATTAGTCTTTTTAAAATCTCTCTCCTCTCTCCCCCTCTCTCTCTCTCCGACCAAGAATTTCTAACAGTAAAACACCAAACAAATATGATACACGCTGTGATACCCAATAATTTATAACAATAAGACACAAAACCAATTGTGTTACACATTGTGATACCACTGTGATAACGTCTTGAACATGGGTTGATAATAGATGTGATCTAAGTTTTAGACCACACACAACCACAATGTGATACACGACTGTGATACAATTTTGTTGAGATAATTAAGGAAACTGATTCTTGAGAATTAAGGAAACCGAATTTGATAACTATTAAATAAGAAAAATATTTAAATTATGATTAATTATTTTACTAAAACACCCTTTACCTATTAATTAAGGTAATATAATTAATATCATAATATGATTGGCTCATATTAGACCTCATGGTTACCACAAACTAATTAGTTCTCATTTGATTAGACCCTATATATATATTAGGGGTGAGCATAGGCGGGTACCCGCTCTTTTTGACAGGAACCGGAACCGGCGGTTCTTGAGATATTGGAACCGGAACCGGAACCGGTTAGAGCGGTTCTTAAATTTTTGGAACCGGAA